AGAGCAGAGTTAAAGAAAAGATAGAGAGCTCATATAAGCTGGGGTTGGAAAACTAATGAACAGATGCATGAGCGCCGCTGTTTGCAACACCCAGTCGTATCACTCACTGTCCCTAACCCCGGTTGCCATGTACTCGGGCTCCTCATGTAGTGAGCCTACCGAGATCTACGCGACCCAGTGTCCTAGTTAGGGTTTTTATATCCTCATCCCAAGTCTGAGTTTGACCACCCTTGACGTTTTTTCATCTGCTGCCTGCCTCGGAAAATATCGCGCACCGTAGCAATCTATTTCATGACATGCACAACACAAGTCCAAACCAGAGTGATTCATAGAGGTTAACCTCTTGTTCCAGTGGATGATACGGTAGGTTTGTGATTTTACAAGAATGTAATAGGAAATTTGTCTTTATCAGTCTTCATGTGTCTTTTTTGGTCAGTGCGCCACTGATAAGGCATTCTTGTCCAATGGAAATAGAATGGCAATTTTCTGGCACAATACACAAACGTGTTGGTACTATCAACCCATCCATTCAAGTTCGTTCACTTACTGTTCGCTTTTGGATGCAACGTATTCTTACTTAGGAGATAGGGCTTTTATTGTTTATATTAGCGACAACCCTGTGGTGGGCACTTTGGTAAACCTCTTGACTGAAGTACAGAAAAAGGAAGAAGATGGTCGAGTGGGATCAAACGCAGCTGCCAGACAGTGGGATGACAGGCACGTCAGTCGGATGCACCAATAAGAGCGGGTGGCAATTCTCATTGAGAAAAACCGGTACTTGGACGCAGCAGATTACGTAACTTTCGATTAGGATGAAATCGGGATGTAGGTAAGAAACGGTATCAAATAGACAGCTGTAATATGCTCATGGCCGAAGTCGTTTTCACCCGAGTTCACCACAGAAAGTGGTGCTCGACAGGGTTGTCCTCTCTCCCCTTTTCTATTTAACTTTCTTATAGATTTAATTGTGGAAACAGCCCTATCCACGTGCAAGCATAGTGATATCGATTTACTCCAAGGTGGCAGATTGTCTGATCTAGAGTATACAGACAACATTGTGCTACTAGGTAAGCTTTTCTGGAAAGTTTGAGTGCTAATGTAGCTATGTTCGGTATGCGTTTTGCACCTTCAAAGTGTAAAATGCTACTACAAGACTGGTTTGGTCCAGTACCCAGCCTCAATCTAACTGGGGAAGTAATAGAGCAGGTGGATAAGTTTTGTTATTTGGGTAGCTACATCTCACCCGGTGGACGCATCACGGATGAA